ATCTGTTTACATATACAGACTGGGGAAGTATAAATTGAGGAATTTATGTTTATGGCCACCACGGGTGGTGACAGTTAATGGGTTTTTTGTTTTGGGGATTTTACTCTGTAAGCTGCCCCACCATGAGTGAGTTGGGGTGGCCATATAAATTTGTTAAATAAATAAGTTCTTATTTAAATGCAACTCAAACAATGTTCTATTTTATTTCTAATATAGAATTTAATTTGTTTGGAGTAGCTGCTTAGGCTCCTTCTAATACAGACCTGCTCCTGGTATGCAATTTTGTTGGTGCTCTTTTTAAATAATGGAAATTAAAAACAAGCAAACAAACAAAAACCCTTGCTAATTTATAGCAGACTACCAAGTGTGTTTATTTATTTACTGAATGTATATGGGTGCCCATCTCAAATACATGAGTCTGGATGGCTAACAATATTCAAAACAAAATAAAAACAATATAACAAAATTATAAATCACATAAGTAGCAGCCCAAAAACAGCAACCACCGCCATCAATTAACATAATCATGATACGACCCAGCAGCACTTCCTGATCCCCAGGCTCAGAGACAAAATCAGGTCTTCAGGACCTTACAAAAGGCCAGCAGGCAAGGCAAGTCTGATCTCTGGGGGAATGTTGTTCCTGAGAGTGGGTGCCGCAACAAGAAAGCCTCACTTCCTCAGTCCCACCAGATGGCATTTCTTAACAGACAGGACCCCAAGTGTACTTCTCCTGCCAGATCAAACAGGACAGATGGATACAACTGGGGAGAGATGGCCGCACAATTACTCTAGTCCCAAGCCATGAAGGGCTTTAAAGGTAACGACCAGCACCCTGAACTGAACGCAGAAGTATACTGGCAACCAGTGCAGCCCACGGAGCAGAGCTGTCACACGTGCCAAATGACAGGCACCCGTAACTGCCCACATGACTGCATTTTGCACCAGCTCCAACTTCTAAATACTTTTCAAGGGCAGCCCCATGCACAGCAAATTGCAGTACTCCAACTGAGAGGTGACCAAGCCATGAGTAACCATGAGCAGGGCCTCCAGGTCCAGGAATGATGGCAATTGGCACACAACACATAGCTGTGCAAAGGGACTCCTGGCCACAGCTGCCACCTGCTATTCAAGTAGGACCCACAAGTCCAGGAGGACCACCAAATTGTGCATTGGTTCTGTAAGGGGTATTGCAACCCCATGCAGAATATGAGGTGGAAGTTCCCCAGAACCAAGGGGTCCTAAAACCCAGAGCCACTCATTCTTGCTTGGGTTGAGTTGAAGCCTGTTGTTCCCCATCCAGACCCACACAGCCTCCAGACACTGAGACGGAACCTCCACAGTCTCACTCAGATGACCCAGGTGGAGATATAAAACTGGGTGTCATGCATACTGATGATACCTCATCCTGAACAATCAGATGATCTCACTCAGTGGCTTCATGTAGATGGAAAACAGGAGAGGAAAGAGTACCAAGTCCTGTGGCACTCACATAACAGGGCCTGTGGGCTGGACTTCTCTTCCCCTATCAACACCAACCGGAACTGGCCTCAGAGGAAGTAAGAGAACTAGCACAGCAAAATTGTCCAGAACAGTAGGGTCCAGCAATGGCCTCTTGAGGAGGGGGCAGTGGAACCAACCCCTCTCACAAAGAGGAATTTACTACCTCTACGACCCAATCACACATAATCTCTTGGGAGGCCTTAGCCAACCAGGAGGGACATGGATTGAAAACAGAGATGGCCGAGCTAACAGCCACAAAAATCCTGTCCACTTCATCAGGCCCAACAGGATCAAACTCCCCCAAATAACCAAGCCAGACCACACCCCAGTCACCTCCACCAGACCTGCTCCAAGGCTAGAGTCCAACTTAACATGAATCCAATTGACTTTATCCATCAGATGCCTAGCAAATTCCTCACAGCAACCTTGTAGGTAAACTTCTGAACCACCCCCTCCCAGGAAGGCTCAGGTCACACAAAACAAGGCTGCTGGATGGGTGCAGTGATGCTCTAAGGATGCAGTGAGGGTGGGGAAATATTAAGATTTCGTCACTCTTACTGTCATGAGGTAGGCCCTAATAGCTGCTCTAACCCATGTTCAGTCAGATTCATTTTTCATCATCCTCCAAGAGTGCTCCAGGTGTCCCTTCACTCACTTCATCTAAATCTTTTATTTATGTACTTATTTTGCTTAGCCCTGGTATTTATAATATAAAAAAATCTAATCTCCTTGTGCCTTTTTCATGTACCCTACTTACAACCAGAGGCATCTATAGGAGTGATGGCAAAAACGTCAAGGTGGTAGCCAAGCGATCGAAGCCCTGCCTTTTTTTACGACATAGATAAAAAGGGGTGGGACTTCCATTGCACAGTTGTGACTGCCATCGTGAATTTTTTTTATCCCTTGTGAATGTCCCATTTGCAGCAGTTGGAACCATGAAGGTCTGAGCAGATTCTGACCAGATCCAGCCTAAACTACAATTAGATTGTACTGAAATCAATGCAACCAAATCAGGGTTAACTGTCTTGTAAACTCCAAGACCACTGAAGTTCACGGGCACTTCAATTCAGTTTACTCTGGATCAAAAGCCACTTCAAGTATTAAGAACGATAACAGCAGATCAGAGAGAGCAGGCAGGAAAAGCTTTTACCTTGAAGCATTATGAGAGATCAGTGCAGCTTGTAGATTATAAAATGAAAATATTCCTTTAGCTTAAATTGATCAATACAATAAGGTACATCCACAGTGGTCTTTCGTCTTCAGAAAGTCTCATAGATGACTTTTAGTTCAGCAGTGGCCTTTTTCTTGTGAGGGAAAAGGCCCTTCTGCCAATTTCCTTTCCTCCTTCAGTTCCTCTCATATTCCAAAAATCTATTCTGGAGAGTTTGGGAAAGTTGCAGATTGGCATAGACATTGCACTGCACTTTGAATGGCATAAGGGGAATAGCAAAAATTTCCCTTGATCAGAAATAATTCTTGCTGGCAGGAAGAAATGTTGCTACGTAAGGCCATGGCTGCAGTGTAAACCCATCTCATTTCCTTGCTTTCTTTTCTGCTAGCACCATTAAAAGGCGATATGGGCAGTAGGAGAGAGGTTCAAAGGCCTCATTTGTCAAAATATATTTTGTGGAAACTTTTTAGTTCCAGAATCCTTTCTGGACTGCACATCTAAAGTACAATGCTCATGAGCTTTTAAAATATCACCCTTTAGTGAATTTGAATATTCACAGATCGAGAATTTTTTACTGTACTGATTCAGGCCATGTATTATATAATCTGTAACATCTTTAGGATATTGTTTTATTTGGCTGTAACGGTCTTGCAATATACCCCAAAAACGAGTGTGGAATTGTTTGGATAGAGAGCAATCTGAATTAACCTTTTGGGGCTTTCGGAAGAGCCAGAAAAAAAGGAATCATAGACTATTTTGTTTTTCTTAGGAAAAAAAAAGGGGGGGGGGAATGCTGCCGCCCTTAGGACTATGCAGTTACGCTTTCCTTTTATCAAAACTATTTTCAAAAGGCTGACAAATAGACAGGGGTGTCCACAGGGTATGCTCAAAAAACCCTAGTTTTGAGTTCCTCTTTTAAGAAGGGGCACCAGAAATCCTGTGGGAGATCTTCTAACAAAGTCCTGGTATTCCGCCCCCCCCCCCCCCCCCC